CCCTCCACATTCCATCTCTCTCTCTCTCTCTCTCTCTCTCTTACTCTCTCTATTTCCATCTTTAGTCTTCTTTGCGCTCATTTTTCTCCGTTATTCTCCTCCCTGTGGATGTGTATTTGCATGTGCTTGGATATATATATATATGCGATATAAATCTATGTATCGACGAGGTGTATCTTTCACCTTTTCGGGGGAATAGGATTAATGGATATTAACGTATAGCTTGACAATTCGAATTCGAAATATTGTTTCGAATCACGCGTAAGATTTATCGCGAGGCACTGTCTCGTCCATCGTTCAACCGAAAAATAAACGGGACGAGATCGTGCAACTGCGATCGATTCTTATTAGATTCCAAAAATATATCCAAATATTTTATTATTTATATACATATATCGAGGAGGAACGAAAGTGTGACGAATCCTCGGGTTTACCGAGCGGGGGAGGAAAAAAGAAGCGAAGCAAAGGGTGTAAAGAGGAAAGGGGGAGGGGGAGGCCACGTAATTGAATATATTTAAGCGCGGGAGGGACGTTTGTGCGGATTCTCGGCTTACAGGAACCCCATACCGAGGCAACGTCTGCGAGTAAACTGGATTAATCGTCTATGAAGGGAGGCTACGAGACCCCGCCGCATTCGTTCGCAATCAGATCCCCCATGGGGAATTCGAAACAACGTGTCTACGTTTCTCCTACTACTACTATTCCCTTTCTTATTCTCCTCCGTGTACGTGCGCGTGCGTCGCGCGAAACTGTCGCCGAGAGGTGAATCGCAAAGATCGAGGTGGATGATTTTTACCGCACCGCGATGCGTGGAAAAATGTTTGTCGAGATCCTCGTTTCGAGACAACCATCTCGTTTTAGGGTATCGCGTGAGTGGAACGCAGGCTCGCCAATCTTACTTACTTCGCCTCAGTTTATTTCCAATCTTATTATTATATTACAATTTCTTTGGAAGATTCTTTCTACGAGCTTGTTCGGAATTTTCATCTCTCTTGCTTAAGCACGATTTTCCGAGATCGAATCTAACAGGAAATTTCTTCGATGCCGAGATCTCTAATTACCGTGACTTTCGTTACTTTCGATCTCCCCCGATCTCAAGATCCACAAGAATGGGCGAGGGATCTCACTCGCGCGTTCCAAAAAATCAAGCGAGGGATAATAGAGATTAGGTATCATGTTCGAACATTCTCCTTCGAAGGAAACGAAAATACCTCCTCCGCAAGAAGAGAGCGAGCCAAGACGTAATTCGAACGTAGTAGTAGTAATGACGACAACGATAAAAATAAAAAATTGTAACGATAATTGCTCCTTTTGGAACGCAGTGCGGCCATGATTTGTGGCCGTATCTCGGGTGGTCGATCGGTGGAGCGAGACGGTGGATTTTATTTGGACGATGGCGCCCCCGGGACAACGTTGATAGAGAAAATTGTTTGCCTACCAGTTGCGCGCTCCCAAAAGGCTCGTTTTACAAGTCGTAAACGAATTAAGGGCGCTTTCAACGCGGCCATTCATCCACCCTGCCCTCGCTCATTTGCATCCGCGGTTTAACGCGGGGTGGCGGCGCGCGTTACAAATTGGCCCGGTCAATCGCTTTCGGATCGCTTCCGCACCGTGAGTCGCCTCCGTCGATTAATTCGGACGGAGAGGAGGAGGAACGTGATCTTCCTTCGATTGGATTAATATTCGAAATATTAGAAAATAGAAAAGTGAACTTGAGAGGTGACACCTTGGATCGATGCGACGATATTTGTAATATTTGTTTATTTGCTTGATTTTTTCAAAGTAGCGACTCACGAATAGATTCTTAAACTCCGTAATCTCGTAGAAATCATCGAATGGTTGGACTTTTTTATCTCAAGGGGATCGAGCCATATTTTCGGCGTTGGTTCGAGTTCGATGGCGGTAGAAATATTATCTTCTAGAGTTTCTAGAGTTTTGTAAGTGGAATACGGTTAATGAAATTAGTTCGAAGATGAGTATGATTGTTCGTTATCGAATGATCGAGATTATTTCAATCGACGATAGAAGGAAAACAGCGATAGAAATAAAGATGTGGAGATAAAAAATGGTAAATTTCATCGCGACAAACGAGGATGCATCTTGCTGATTACTTTATTATTAAAATAAAACAATACAGACTTTAATATTCGATAAATTTTCTTCCTTTGCGCGATAAAAATACGTAAAATATTAAAAAATAAAAGTTTTATATGTTGATTTATGCGTCGATTTAAGTTAGCTGAAAGAAATTCATTCAAGAACGGGCGCGAGAAATCGTGTGAAGTCGTTGCTTCGCTCGAGATACGAAAGATTAAAGATTATCTTAGGTTCTTTAGGATCCAAGTTACGTACATTTATACGCAACTCGTCAATCGAAGGTTAACGAGTCGAATTATGAAGATAATTAATATTTTCTAGCGAGTAATTTCTTTTTTTTAATCGAAGGAAACCACACCGCGGATTATTAAAACCACGTCGTGTTTCCCCGCGTGAACGATTCTCTTTCTCAACCGAGCAAGTCTCGAATTGGCGAAAAGGAGCTGGGCCGAGAAACGATCGCGAGGAAATCGTGGATCGTGGAGAAATTCTGGTAACGTGAACGGTGCTTAACCTCGCCTCGATTTTTCTTTTCGTTGAAGATCGAGCAGGAGTAGTTAAAATCGCCGATTAGAATTTCTTACGAATCATTCTCGAGGAGATCGTCGAGTTGTGACGAGAAAGGGAAGAAGATGCGTGTCATAGGTTCAGAGAATCGTTACTGTTTTGTAGCGAGATTGAAGAGAAGGGATTGAGAATCGAGATCCTCGGAGAGAATTCGAGGATCGCTTTTTTTCGAAAGATCGTAATCTTAGTAAAAGTACTCGGTTGAGGATCTTTGACTGCTTTAAATCAAATCAAAGAAATGTTCTAGAAAAACGCGTCAAAGTTGAGAATCACCGGTAAAAAAAAAAATCACGAGCCAAAAGAGGAAAACGCTCGAAATACGATCTCGAAGTTGAGAATCACCGGCTCGCGATAACGGAAAAGGACACGCAAGTTGGGTTTAAAAAGCGACGAGGCCGAAACGAGATAGTTTCCGGAAAACGTTCGACGACCAATTCTCAAAGTTGAGAATCACCGGTTCGCGATAAGGGGATTCGCAAGTTGGAGACCGGTTTAAAGAAGATGGAACCACTTTGGCGGAGGAGGTGCAAGTTGAGGAGCACTGGTTGCGGAGCGATAACCGGTGAAGGAACGAAGAGAGAGAGAGAGAGAGAGAGAGGTCGTGGAGATGGCGCGAAGGGGTTGTTGGAAAGGGGCGCACGAAGCTGCGGTTGGGCGTCTCAAGGCGAAACTTGCAAAAGTACATCGGGGCTCAAGGGGGCGGAAGTAATCGCGCGAGTTTCTCCGCGGCGCCGGATCTCTACGTTATCGTCGGCCGATTTCACGGCATTTAGTGGCTGCCTACCGCTATACCGCCCCGAATTAAGAACAAAGATATCGAGATCGTTACTTTCTAATTACATTGTGCTCGGATTGCCGCGAGCGAGCAAAATCTAACAGCCATCCTCGTGCGTGTACAGCTTCGTCGAGAGGCGTCTCGCAGAGTTGGGGAGGGAGGGCGTTTTTACCCTCGTTCCTCCTCCTCCTTTGATCGAGAACCGAATCGTCGATTTGAAGTAGCGGCATCCGCGGATTTGGACCGAATTTTCAAATTTATCTTTATATCAAATTCGATTCGAGAAATTGAATTCAGGCCCAGAGATCGATAAAACTGAAAATTTAAAAGAAGGAAAAGAGAAAAGAAGAGAAGAATGGGAAGCGATTGAGGACACGGTCTGATCCGGAAAAGAGGCGGAAACGCGAAGGTCGAAGGAGAGGAATAGACGGGGGAGGAAAAATGAAAGGTTTCAAATGAATCGCGTAATAACCTCTGTAGCCTGTTGGTTTCTTTCCTCCCCCCCGCGGACGCTTGATTCTCTCCCCTTCGTTTGCTCCCTATACGGAAGAGCTGCTTACGTATTCCGGTGCACGGATGGTTGCACCACTCCTTAATGGAGTTTCCAATATTTTCCTTTCCGCGCTCTCTTCCCTCCCATCCTCCTCTTCCCACCTAGTTGATCGATTGCCAAACTCCTTCCGCCTAGAGACCTGCCCTCGCTCTCTCCTTCCACGGTGCGCTAATTGTCGTTACCTCGTTAGGTTCCACCCACCACGCGACACTTGCCACCCTTGTAATTGCCTCTCCTAACTTTATTTAAACGGCTCTCCCTCCACTACTTTTCTCTCACTTCCTCGAGAAACTCTTTTCCTTCGAGATCCCTTTCTCTTTCAACTTTAGGTAATTTTTTTTCTTTTTTTTTTTTTGCGGTTGTGAAAATTCCAAAATATTGAAAAGCAGCGTAGAGAATGTTTGTATCTCGATCCACGTCCGATCGAGTTGTTTTTAATTCGAGCCGGGGAAGAAATCGTATAAGGAATGGTAAATTAGTTCAAACGCGAGGAAACGCGGTAGGTTTTCAATTTCGACGATACAAACGTACGTTGTTACGTTTTGACTAATCGGGCTTCGATCGCGCAGCCACACCGCGTCCCATTCGTTTACAAGGTGTTTAATCTATTTGTATTCATACGGCGGCAGGTAGCGCCGTGAACACTGCGTTCATTGAATGCGCACGGCGAAATGGATGATCCCGCGTTTCTTTCGAACCGTTTAACATCGCTCGTTCACGGTCCATCATACTTAATACGAACCGTGATGAGAAGCATTGTGATGGAAATTTTGCGAAACGTATATCTCGTGATATTTACAATTTTTCGAGTAAAATTAATCCGATCGTGTAATATAACATACTTAAAGATTTTCAAACGAATGCAAGCAAACGTTTTAACGCTAAACCTACCACGCGCGGTCAAATGGCCGTTTTTGAAATTTCGTTTTTGAATTCCTTGTATACAAAGTTACAATTGTATACAAGTTAGATACAACCCATTTTTCAATATTCCCAACTTTCTGCATCGTTCACTTTACGAGTCCAATTAGCTAAAATCTCTTTCTGTATTAAGATACAAATGTTTTTTTTTGCATTTGACCGCTCATCGTAGGAATACACGAAATGTCGTTAAGTTTGGCGTTAAACAAAGATTTCCAATGAATATAATTTACGAACATCAATCGAAAGAAAACTTACTAAAACATCGTTCGACGAGAACAAACGAGCACGCGACTACCATCGAACGTATTAATAACTCGCGAGAAAAGAGAAAGAAAAGGGATAATAACCCTCGATCGGGCCATCGAAAAACGATTGCATCTCGTTACACATCCTCCCCGTTCGAAAATTCTCCAAGTATCCGATTTTAATATTTTCTCGTGGTTAGCGTCGCGAGAAAGTGATGGGGATATCGAGTAACAAGTTGAGAAGGATGATCCCGCGATGATATAGGGAAGGGAGGGGTTGGATCGAGCGAGGGGCCGATCGGAATAGAAATTCAACGTATAATCCGCTTCGGTCTAATGCCTAATCCCGCCGACAAATTTATTGGATTCTCGAATATGCGCGCGTCGAGAAGTTTCGAAACGTTCGAAAATCTATGCCCGCGTGGATTAAGGGAGGGTGGAACGATTACCGTGCCTTGACTTTCGCGCAAGAGTTACGAGGGGTGCTCCTCTTAATTAGAATTGCGCGATAGATGTATCGTCGTGTGTACGAGAGGGGTAGAGAGCGGAAGGGAAGTTTGGTTGGAAGAGACGCAAGTAACTCGAGGAAAGGAAGAAAACATTTTCTTATTTCATAAGTAGACTGTTGTAAAGTTCACTGAAATTTTATTCGTAATTTTATTATTGAATCAGTCGCTAGCAGTGTCGCTACAGTTGCTTTTTTTCTTTTAGTTGCTTTATCCTCGATATCCTCAGTTTCAGCTTTGTAAACAGGCACAACCAAAATATATCTGTTCAGCTAAAATATTTGACAATATCTTGACAAAAAATTTTCCAATTTCTTCTTCCAATTTTTTTTTTTACCGATTTTCCTCCATTATAAATTTTCTCCCACGATCGAGCTCCCCATCGAGCGTGTCAGTCGTATCATCGTCACTTCCATACGTAAATAATCGATAAATAATCGACACACGAGGAACGTAAGCGTGAAAAGCGGACAAGTTCCACGAGAGGAAGCTTCGGGGGGCCAACGGTGGAGGGGAGGGCCAGATGTGCCGTTGGCCCCGCGTCGAATGGGAGAATAGGTGGCGATGATACAGATGTTAGCCAGGGATTACCGTTGCTCATCGAAGCGGAGAGGAAGTCATCTTTGACGGGCCCGAAAATTCGGGCGCATTAAGGGTCGGCTAATAACGCGTAATGCCGATTCCCTCCCTCCTCTCCTCTCGTGGGCCGACCCCGTGACAAGCCATAGGCGACGACGCTCCTCCTGGACGCTCCTCGAGGGGTGGCGATTGGCGTGCTGCTGCCCCCTTTCAGGGAGGAGAAAAGATCGCGCGCATTGGGCCATCCCATCCGACACCTCGCCCAACTTCGATTATCATTTTGAAATCGAGTAGAAAAGCGAGTGAGAATGGCAGCCGGCCGTGACGCGTTTGATGACGGCAACGGCCGTTCAACCGAAAAAAAAAAAAAAAAGAAGAAAAAAAAGAATCGACGAGAGGGGAGAGGAATGAATGGATTGGCGCGCGTATTATGCACGACTGGGATATTGGCGATACAGTTTACGGATATTTACAGATACGGGGGGGGGGGGTGCGAGGGGTTAGTATTTGTAGAGAAAGGATAAGCCTAAATAAAGAAAAAGGAAGAAAATTCGTCCGCGATGATTTCTTATTATTAGAATCGTCTCGACTGTTTAAAGATCGTACAAAGATTACGGGCGAGGCTCATAGAGGAAGGTGCGGCCTTCTATTTACCGAACAAAGAGGAAGTAAAGCGACACGAGATTAAGCG